TAAAATAAGTAAAATTATTAGTGCAATGGAAAGCCAAATTTATTATTTTCTCTAACCTAATTACATAGACAAGCACCTTCTTTTTATATACACTTTACGTGGTCTATTGTCAAAAACAATTTGCAATAAATGACTGAATGAACTTAGCCACTTATGTCCTGTATCGTACCTGAAAACACAATAATGGGGTATTGTGGATCCCTGCAGATCCTGGGACGTTGTATAGAAGTTCTTCAAAGCAAGGGAATGGAGATGGGATTGGATCACCAAACTGCTCAACTGTAGCATCAGCATCGGCTTCGATGAACAAAACACCCTCCCCAGTACATTCAACTATAAGCTTATTGTCTGGCCCTTGTCTAATCCTACCAGCAAAAGGGTAATAATAAACAAGTGTTTGTGCAATCGCCTCTTTTATTACCTTCACGGGATCTTTCCCTTGCATTGAGGGATTGTGTGCATACAAGTTGTAATTCGGTGATTGGAATTGGAGGTATAATTGGCGATCAATATCAGAAAGCTGTCTGAGTTCATGAGGAGTGGCTTTAGCTGGGGCAACCAATTCAGGTTCGCATCGTCGGACCGCAAATGCTAAGGGAGTAGATGCTGCCATGGCATAAAATTAATAGTGTTTGCTGCAAACTGTGATCAATGGCAGCTATGCCACGGACGGCAAGAATATGGGTTGGAAATGGGATACCTGTAGTTGCAAACTTTCTACATATTTATAGCAAGCATTGTTTAGACCAAGCATGCATGAAGTAGGTGAACGATATAGACTATCAAGCTGTGTTAATTAATTGGTTATGATGATAAGATCTTGACTTGTTCAATCAGTGAGGTGTTTTCGATCAAAGAAAGAGAGAGAAGGATTCACGGGAAGGCATGACACCAAACTTGCTAATGTTTCCCTGTTCTGCCGGATTCCCACTGAAGAATACAATCAAGGGAGTGTTTGTATTTGTTATGGTACATTATGTTTTTTAAAATATTCTTTGATTTGTTTTTAACCTTAAAAAGTATTAAATTGATTTAAAAAAAAAATAATTTATAGTATTAATATGATGATATTAAAAATAAAATATAAAAAAATTAATATATTTTCAATTAATTTTTTTTGAAAAGTAGTGTGTGTACCGCATTACCAAATATATATGGAAAAATTATTATAGATTAAGAGATATTTTAATATATATTATAATAATATTTTTATTTTTATTTTTTTATATTTTCATGATATTTTTCTGTCTTTTTTTTTCTCATTCATTGCTTCTTCTCTATTATTTTAGTGTGTTAGATTCTGACATAGTTGCTATCAAATTCAAAGTACAAAAACATCAGTTCTGCAAATGTTTTAGATGTAGTAATTACTTTAAACTCTGAGCATCTTGAATTTAATAATTATATTTGAGTTTAACATGATTATCAAATCTAAATACATGAATTTAATATAATTAAATGAGTATTGAATAACAAATATGATTTAACAATCCAATAATCTATAACCAAAATTAATAACATTAGAAGATTCGTTGCGCCTAATCTATAACCACAATTTAGAGCATCGAAAGACTTACAATGCAACAAGCAAAAATGACACAATGCCCCCATCAGCAGATAAAGTGTGAAAAACATTTTAAATTGAGTTTATCATAAAAAACACATTATGAATCAAAACATTATAAAGAAAAGAAATCAACGTATATTTATAAAAAAAATAACTCTTTGTTTGTAATTCATCGAAATCACATGCCAAAAAACACAAATAATATCAATATATTTATCATTAAAAAATAATTTAAAATTCTATTTGAGATCTCATTTAATAATTTAAATTTTAATATTAAAATAATTTTTCAATATAGTTAGATATTCAAGAAAGAGATAGGAAACCTGCCATTCTTCTCTCTCTCTCTCTCTCTTTCCATACTGCTTTAATTTGATTCAATGAGAAATTTGGGCCCCGAGAACCTAAAATTTACCCTCCCAAAATCTAATTTTTTTCCCTTAAAAAAAATGAAAAACGTTAATATTTGTAAATTAAATTGTGCCCTTAAAATTCGCTTGATTAATTGCCTCTATATATGGGCGGTATTACCAATGGCCTCTACAAATTAATAAATTTAATTCTCTAGCAACACTTTTTAAAGTTGCCTCGACATAGCTGCCTTCGTAGGACTACTTTGTTGCAGCGCAAATGTGTGATATTAGAATACATGGATAAAGAAAATTTTATGGAATAAAAAAATAAAAATATAACTTAAAATTATTAAAAATTTATATGATTATTAAAAAAATCAAAGTTTTTATAAAAAACAAATGATAAGAGAAATTACTTGTTTAAAAAACTGACATAGCCAACCCATGTTCTTTCATTGTCATGTATATACAGATTGGAGGAGATTCCATCAGATTTTTTTGTATGTATCCTTTTAGACCATTATGTTATGGAGTTAATGCATGTTGTTCTAAGCAACCTCTTCAATTATTAAAATATATTTCAGTAACATCGAGGGAGTTACTCAAAATTTCAACTGCTACTCATTTCAATATTCCAGTAAGTGAGGGGGCAGTTTTTTAGATCAGAGTACTATTTTCATGTTGTGTGTTGACATTTTTTGAAATATTTAAATGTAAATTATCTCATAATTATAATTTTATTTTCCATTGTCTTGCCTAATGGATTAAGAGGAATACTCCTAAAAAATTAAATTAATAGCATTTTGTTGTTTCTTAATGGGCATGTTTAGCCTTTGTTTTTCTTTCTTTTCTTTTTCTATTCTAAATTTTCCTCGGTTGTCATCTCCTTAATGGTGCTATTTCGCTCAAATTCAGCTAAAAAAACAAAATATATACAAACATGCATAGACTCAAGTTTAGCAGATTTATAAAATTAGAAGGCCAACAAGTCCAAGAATCCATAAAACACCAACGACAAACAAAAGATACAGCCTTGTCTTCAAACTACCAAACCTCTAAGCTAAATTTCAACGTAACCATGCAATGAGATCTTGGCCTCCTCGAAAGAGAGCTCCCTCGTGAGAAAAAGAATTTAATCATAGATTCCCGAAATTGAACTAGCTTCTGCCTACCTATAACTAGGTTATATATACAAATTTTGGGTGGTTCAGCCTGTGCATTGAAAGGAAATTTCTTTACCAATACATATACCAAGTTGAATAACTATATGGGTAAGTTTACGTTTCAAAAACAATGTTGGTGGTTTTGGAATTTTATACATATATATTTATTTATAGATAAATCTAGTTGTCTAGCTCTATATTGGTACGTAGTTATGACTGTGTGATGACGAATAGATTGATAGAGATTTCACCTCGTTGTTGATTGTGGCTCTTGGCCACAGGATCGATCTATGGCCTGCCTTCGTATCTCTTCAAAATTCCCATTTGTTTTTTTGTGTGGTAAAGTTCAACTGAGGTTTATGCATGTTGTATTTTGTACATACATATTTGTTGGTTATTGGAGTTAATTCACCCACCACCATCCATCTTGATTTTTATTTTTATTTTCAATTGCCAAAATAAGAGTCCATGTGCCTCTTCGAAGTCATTTCTCAAGTAGTTGCTGATAGAAAATTACAAAAACATGACATGCAAGGATTCTTAAGATGAAATTATAGATGGTGACATTTCAACAACACAAAATTAAATCCAAGGGCTGCCGACCTTCTCTTGATGAAGGAAAAGGAGCTGGAATTTTCTAATTTGAACTTTAAAGTTAGAAGTTATGCATGTATTAAAGAAAATTATAATGATTTGAGCATAGAGTTGTGATGGAGTCAGGTTCGGATTTATCAAGCTAACTTAGGTTTATATTTTGTTTAGAGATATGTAAAGTTTTTTATTTTGATTCAAAGATTTTATTTAAAAGTGCATCTAAATCAAATTAATACTATTTGAATCTTGAAATATATATTACAAATATTCTAGTTGTTCAAATAATAATTAATAAAAAAAAATATTTTTAACAATAATAAAAATTTTATTATAACTTTAAAGTGTTTCAATAAATAAATACTCTCGTTTATTTTAAATTAAACATAGGTATTTTTTTATTACTAAAATACTTTATTGAGTTAAATTAGAGAATTAATCTTGGCATGGGCTCATTCTTCTCGGGGAGGCGTTTTTCATGCATTAATCTTGTGACATCTAAATCATATAGGTTTTCATGGGATAAAAAACCGACTAGGTTACTTCAAGTAAGCCCAAGGGACTTAACCATCTAGGTTCAGCTCTTCATTATGGCCTTTATTTTCTACCTAATTTCTATTCCTGTCACAGAAGCGGGCCTATTTCCTAAGGTAAGACTTGCATGATGATGTTGTCGATTTTGAGCACATTAGTCCATCAGCACGACATGATTATTATTTGATAGTGTAATAATAAATATTTTTTTTATTTAAAAATAAATTTAAAAAAATTATTTGTAATATTAATAAATTAGAATTATTTTTAAAAATTTTAAAAATATTATTTTAATATTTTTCAAGATAGATATATTTTTAAAACGTGAACAGAGTTAAAGAGACATGTATAAAGCTTGTTTGATAATATAGTTGTGCGTGCTTTTTAAATAATTTTTCGTGCTAAAATATATGTTAATAATTTTTTTATTTTTTAAAAAATATTTTTGACATCAGCATATCAAAATAATTAAAAATATATTAAATTTTAATAATAAATAAATAAATTTTCTAAAACGCGGTTTGCACCGCGTTTTCAAACATACTTCTTTACTAGAGTTCATGAACTTGTTTAGTAGTCTAATTGTAGGTGTATTTTAAATAATATTTTATTTTAAAAAAAATATTTTTGATATTAAGCATATCAAAATAATTAAAAATATGTTAAATATGTTAAATTTTAATAAAAAAATAATTAAATAATTAAATTTTCTGGTTCCAAACATACTCCTAGTTCAACAGACGAAAGTGCATCGAAAGTGACCAGAGACGGCAATTATCGGTGCAGGCTTACTCCTATCCTCCATATGCGAGAGGCTCGGTCCTTAAATGCGAGAGGCTCGGTCCTTCTCTTGGCTTGCTTAGCTCTTCGCACGGCTGATACCTTTGACATCTGCTGCAGGCTTTATCTTTTCTTTTTCTTATTTCTTTTTACCTTTTTTATTTATTTTTTTCTACACAATGACAACTCACTTGTTTTTTATTTTTGATATATTTCTTTAATATTATTATTAAAAAAATTATTTAGATTTTGGTATTTTTAATTATTATATATTTAATATGAAAATAATAATACTAATGATAAATTGTTTTTAAGCAATTTCGATTGAAATCAGTTATTTATAATTCAAATGTTTCGTTAATTTTAGAGCATGATTTTTATTACATTTGTATTTTTTAAAAATTTCAATAATAGTAAATATTAGATATGGCGGGAGGCTGCCCTTCTCCTGAAAAAATCTAAGGTCTCCTTACTCTCAGTGGTAAACAGGGCCCACGGTCGCAGCTGAATCTTCTGGTGTGAATATCGACAATTTTAGTATATTAATATTAAATTTAATCTTAAATTAGTATTAAAAAATCCATTCACGAACAAGTTACTAGCTTGTTTCTTTTTATCTTTTTCT